CCTCCTGAAGAAAGAGTGGAAATTTGGGGTGAAGTCAGACCTACTCTAGTTTTGGGAGCCCTGTGATGCTCTAGAATTACACTGTCAATTTGGAGCTTTAAAAATGCATCATGTGCAGTACATTTTAAAACATGAAGTTAGAGAGTGCCAGGAGGAATGAAAGTTCATGGAAAATTGCCCTTTTCCTTTAGGTTTTTCTATTTGGTTTTTAGTCTTCAAAAACCCCACCCCAGGGTTCCAGCTACTACGGCTCTTCTACTGCAATTATGTTTGGAATTCATCATTAAATTCCTGGAAACTCGGACCCTGGAGTTCCACTGACCTGAGTTCTGCTACCACTAACAAGCTCTCTAGGGGTGAGTGGCTTGACCTCTCTGAGCCTGACCTCTTGTCTAAAATAAAGGTACTGGTACCACCCCTACCATGTCCCCCCAGGGATGTCATCAGAAACACTCAGTTAAGCCCGATGCTCCAGCTGCACACAACTTCTCAGCTTTGCCAAGCACTTGGTGGCCAACTCTTAGTCATCCATTAAGGCCTCTGACACTTTTCCACCTCTTCCAGAATTGCTACAAATATGTTTCCGTGAAAAGCTTAGAAAAGGTGCTTCCCTGTGACACCCTCCCTGGGGCTCCCTGTCACTGCACCCATCACAGGGAGATGCAATGATCTGTGTATGCTTTGTCTCCCAGCACAGGTTCGAATTTTCTGAGGGCAGGGCTGTACCTGACTCATTCCCGAGTCCCAGTACCCAGCGTGCACACAGACTGGCACGAAGTAGATTTCAATACAAATTTGCTTTACCTGCCAACCCCCAGGACAAATTTATGTATGAGAAGCGGTAAAAGGAAGCCAGTCTGTTATAGCCACAGAAAATGGCAGTGAGCAGACCCTGAGCAGCCTTGAGACAAGCCTGATCTAGAGGGGTTGAAGGGGATACAGTCCTTGCAAGGAAAATAAACAGCCCTGGTTCCAACGTCACCTCCGTCAGGAGTCTTCCCTAGTTCCTAAATTGTCTGCTTCCTCTGACATCTTCCCAAGGCATTTGCAGGAGGGGTTGCAAGTGATGAGTGTCCAGGAGTGTTCCCACCTTGCTATACCCACCCCCGTTCAGACACAGAGGTCTCCATGGTCATGGGCTCCATTCAGATGGGGCAGGGATCTGGGTGAGCTGGGACCCCAGGCCTGGGTAGCTTAGCAGGCTAGATCTGAGTGCTGAGCACAGCCCCACATCTCCCCAGGGCACCAGAGGAGCCTTTCCTGGAGGAAGAAAATCCCCAGGTCTGCAGCTTCTGGGGACCTCATCCTGAAAAGGGGACTATGCTTTGCCCACTAAGGGTATCCCTGCCCAAAGCCCATCCTGGTGCCTAAGCCCCCACCCCTCTGAATGTCAGTTCAGCCCCTGCTGGAGTGACAGCCTCCCAGAGGAAAGGCTTTTGTTCCAAGGAAATGACTGTCAAAGGGAGAACAAGTATATTGTTTCTTTTTTTTTTCTTTTCACTTGAGACAAAGACGTCAATTTCTTTCCATCTGTCCCAAAAAGGGAAGATTAAATTTGTTTTTACAAGGATGTCAGAACACTGCTTCAATAGGGAGTCAGGGTGTATGACTGAGGCTGCGTCTGTGAGGAAGGGCAAAGCGGTGGGGTGGGGTGGGGAGATGAAGCATGGGGAGGCACAGGGACCAAGGACAGAATCTGATATCGGGGGAAGCAAAGACCTGGGCCTGCCTGAATAAAATGCCCAAGAAATAAAAACAAATACTTCTACGCCTAGGTCTGGCTGGACCCACCTCTCAGCAGCTTGAAGGGGGCAGCGAGAGCAGGTGGAGGACCTGGGAGCCCGGGGAGAAGGCAGAGAACGCACAGGGACAGTAGCATCATAGTTATAAAAGCCTCTTCCCCCAGTTCCTTCAGTGTCAGGTCCCCATGTGGGCAGTTCCAGCTCACTGGAAACACTGGATACACTGGGTGCAGCCAGATGTTGGGAGAAGGGAAAGACGATTTCTTGGAGGTTCTTCTCAGGAGCCCTAGATGCCAAGCAAGGGTCAGGGAAGTCTGCACTGGTGCTTCTGATGCCCCAGCCAGTCCCAGGGGCACTTACCCTCCAGGGAGCTCTAACACATGGTCCTCTGCCCTCCAGCACCTGGGCCAGAAAAGCCAGGGTCCTGGGGACCCCCCAAAAGCACCTGCCCTCTGGCTTCAGGACCTAACCTGGAAGCAGAACCACCCCCCAATTCCTGCCTCAGCCCACCCACCACCCCCCTTTGGCACAGAGGCTGACCAGCAGCTTTGGTTTTGGAAATGAAGCAGAGACCTCACTCCTTTCTTTTGAGCCCCATTAGGGACTCAGGGCTGAGGAGTCACCCCAACTGAGGCCCTGCTCTGCTATCCCATCCTGGAGCAGCCGGGCCCAGCTCCAGGGTCCTGTCCCAACCCTCACTGAGACGCAGTGCTGGGGCCACTACTTCCCTGCCCATTCCAAGGAAATAACTGTCAAGGAGTGAAAAGGTATATATTTTCTCTCCTCTCTATTTTCTTTTTATTTATAGAGATGGCAAGTTGGACCTGGACTTTCACAAGCCCAGCCTTGAGCCCCACCTCCTGCTGGAACTCAGGGCTGGGACTCTACCCCAAAGTTGAGCCCCTATCCCCTGCACACAGGCCCTCTCTCTGAGGCCCAATTGTGAGCAGCAGCAGCCTTGCCTCACTGTCCTGTCCTTTGCTTTTTGCGGGAGAAGAGACCCCCCCCC